GGGAAAGGTTTTTCGATGCCAAATACTGAGTCAAGTTAGTGCTACTTCGATTAAATGCTGGTAAAAAAGGGGTTCGGTTCGAAAACTGACAATAACAACGCTTGAATTGTTTCCCATAAATAACATATTCAGATTCTCGGACACCAATCGCCGTCAGTTAAATATCACCGAAGGAATATAATTAAGTTTAAAACACGGACAGGTCCGAATGTAAGCATGAGTCGGGTATATTTTTCCCAATGTATTATGGTGATTAATGTGTCTGAGAAGCAATAAAAAAACCAGTTAGTCGAACAATGCATCCGTTGGATTTTGGGAGATAAAATAGGCCACTTTATATTCGACCAAACTGTATAAACGTGGGGTCATAGGACAGATTTAGGTACGGCTAACGTCCTAAGTACCTGTGATATTGGACCTTGGCCATGAGCATATACTTAATTCGTGTTAAATGTTAACTTTTCCAAATCTACTATGTATCCACACATATTTTATCATAGCGTTACCTTCTTTGGTGTGAGAACAACGAGCGAAACGTACTGGTGCTTTAGAAAAATATGTCCGCAAAAAACTAACAACCCAATTAAGGTTCATATTGCTGTACTGGCTTCTATTCTTAATTCCACCTAGGTGAATATAGGGTCTCCCTCGGAACTGTCGTCTCGTGCGATGAACCAAAATATTTTCTTCTCCTTTCAATGGTTTCATCACAGCCAGTTTGTTTATCTCATCTTTCAGACCAAACTGATCGAAATTTAAATTTCACGAAAACATCCTCCCTGACCGACAACTGCCTACGCTTTTTACGTCAAAAGCATTCACATCCGGGCACGTCTCTTAGACTTGCGATCACATGCTTCTTAGCTTAGTATTTTGCCATGTTTTGTAACACAATCTCAATGCGGCTAACTGCTATTTATATAGACCTGTTTGTTGTGTCTCTAAATCACGAATTTATGATAGTTGCCTACTTTACTCTCCACTGTTTACCTCGTGTTTTGCCCTCCGATGCCTAACTATTTTAGAAATCATTTTACATCACATAGCACTTTATTAGTCTTCACTATGACCTTAAATCATTCAGTTCGAGTGTTAGTTGGGAAGTTGACCCAGTTCGTCTGGGTAAAACAGATTTATGTTACATGACATCCATTCCATCTGCGATATTTCGAATATCCTTGTCGGCCTATAAATGCAGACAATCACATTTATCCAGTACGGTAGGCATCCCTTGCCCTGCCTGTTCTTTATTCGGTCCTATCGCTAGTCACTGCAGGTCCACGCAGCACAAGTTTATTTTACAATTTTTTTAAACTTCTGATCCTTGCATATCGTGGCATGTAGATTGGATTTGGTCGACTGCGGCATGTCTTCATGCTTCCAAGAAACATTCTCCAAAACAAACATGACGCATGATGGCGTAATGCAGTAACTACAGATTTGAAGATGCAGCTCGATGAACGTTGAAAGTCTTCCATTTAATGAGAATGGATACAGCGGATACAGTGACCAAATTTTCCTCTTATAATGTAGCAAACTGAACAAGAGTTAAACCTCGTGGCGAATAAATGGTCACATTATCAGTAATGCCTTAGAGCCGTTCGCTAGCGATCTCCTCCACGTGCATAAATGAACAGGTTGGATACTTCTGTATTACCCAATCCGACACCCAGCTCTCCTATGTAACCCTAAGAAAAGTGCATTTTGGTAGTCATCTGGCATGCGGGCTATACCAGAAGAGGATGTTTGACGTGTTTGTGTCTTCACACACTGTATTCCTTTATCTAATCCCCAAACTTCCCGACCCAGATACAACAGTTTCCTGCAGAGAGGGTGACATGCAGTTCCGTAAGCGGTCCAGGTTTCTTCGGTTTACCTGTTAGCTAAACGAAAGATGCAATCCATATGAAATTTCGGTGATCGCTTGGAATGGTTAAACAACCATATTTACGGCTTGTAGGGTGTATCTCCCTCGTGGGGGTTAGGATAGAATTGACGCAAAATGTTTTTCTACTCCTAGCGTTCTCCACGTCGGTTTTTATAAAACAATGCACGTTTAATATCAGGTTAATAATTTTGGAAGTAGTTAGTGTCTTGGCATGACGTTAAGTGTCTTTGACCTGAAACTTTCGAGTCATTTCAGAAATATAAATGAGCTTTCGACTGAAAAGTGACCATATAAGTTTACAGAAAAAAAAAGAGAAAGGAATACGCTTTGCTTCGAAGCCTCGAACTCGAAAATGCGCGATAAAAATATGGCCGCGTTCACTGCGGGCAGAATATAAGTCCAAAAATTACGTGTGAATCCAAGTTTTACACAAAAATGGAACAACTATCGAGGGGATAAATCAAGTTCCAGTGTGTGTTCTTAACTCCTCACTCGTAAAATAGCACGTTAGGAGTAACAATGCAGAATGTTGATATTTCAACGTACGGCAAGCGATAGGTTAAAATCCACGGGGCATGGGGCATAAGAACTCGGAGACAATTTATATTGAATGAATGGGATGGACAGTGTCATCCAGACGTCGAACGGAAAATTGCTTGACCGTTTTGGAGTGTTCTCGTACGATAACAACGACTACAATTACATAAGAAACATGCAGCAGAAGGGATTATTCGGCGTGCTCGTCTAAATAAAAGCATGTCGTTTTCAGCAAAGCAGGAAGAATAACAAGAGAAAAAGATAGAGTACGATGAAGAGTATAGACTTTTAGGAATCAGCGGATCAAACTGCGAGGTGTGTGTCAGGGATGTAAACAAATAATGTAATAAGGAAGTTAACGAACTTTAGTGAAAAGGACCGAAATATGGAGGAAAATGAAATATTATATGACAAGGTAACGCCAGGGTACCTGAAAGAAGATACCCCTTTGATGAGGTTGTTCGCGGATTCAGAGCAAATAGAGTCACAGTCGGAAAACACAATGGAACGATTGCTGATCACTCAGTTGGAGATCATATTCCGATTCCCATACTAATACATGGCCAAGACCATTCCTCAGAATCTGAACATGAATATCAGTTTTGAAAGGGCGACTAATGTCACCGTCCACATATCTAACAAACAGACATTTATTTGATGATCTCAGTTCATCATTGTGAAAGGAAAAAACTGAGAGGATCCTTGGAGAACTCCGCAGTTGTTGGAATTAATCGTCGATTTTTTGCTTTCTGTTTTGGGCTTAATAATTGCGGGAAGCGCATTAAGCACCGAGCCAAGAAACAACTCAGCCTTAAGATTCTCGCCCGGATGTTTTGCTTTGAAGTAGATCGGGGAGCTAGTGTTAAAGGCGACCCTATTAAATCAATCATATACAAGCGAACAACAAAAGTGCTTGACGTATCATTGCCGGGAATGTGTTTTAGACAACAATAACACACGTCTGCTCAGAGAACTAAGATGGGCGATGTCGAAGGTCAACTAGATTTTGGACTGTAGAAAAAGCTGATTTCTGTGCCTGAGCTCAAAGTGAGGAAAATACGTGCATATTCGTGAATCAAGGTACAACAACGGAGTGACGGCGTCCAAGTCGGCGAAATAAAGTTTTCGATTATTTTTCGTCAGGCCAGTGCATTAGTATAGGTCTAGTTAGAGCATCGACAATTAAAAATTAAAGTTACTTATGAACGGTGGTCATAATTTGGGTCAAATGTGTTCAGAATTGTGGGGAAGCAGAGAACTATAGTTTAATTTCTGTCATGAGTAGGGAAAGAGGTTAGTGTACATGGGGTTAGTTTCAGACCTAGTTTTTTTCCTGACTAAGAGTAACTTAAGCCGTTGCCTAACCAACAGGCCTATACGAATTCGTACTCCGGATTCACTGGAGGATACACTCGCCGCGAGAAAATGGCTTCCCGATATTTTAGCATCAGATATACGGAAGATCGTTCACCAAAGTCGAATATACTGACGGTAGATAGGAAAGGATTATTTGTCAATTGGAGAAACTAGACTATAATGATCCCGCTGTCCTACAAGTCTGAACATATTTACCCCAAGTTAACTGTTTATAAGTTGCTTTGATTCTTAAATTTCGTTGCTCTTACTAGATCTACTTTAATAAACTGGTCTGACTAAGAATACTCAAAAACATACTTTCGCCGACTTGAACTTCCTCAATGTGTATCATAGTAGAAGTCAAGAAATAACGGAGTGCTTGATTTTATCATTACATAAGTGGCACAATATTTGACGCAAATACCTCGTCTGCATTGAACAGGCGCAGGAATCGTCCGATGAGGACAGGTAGGTAGGAATCCTTCATCTAGCTGAATTTTCGAAAATCTGATATATATTTTCTGCATAGAACAGGTCGGTGATCTAACACTGATCAGACGTCGTTCACCTTCGTGAGACATTTCAACCTGAATTGACATTGATTGCAGCATTTGATCAGTGTTTTTAATGCAACGCCTGCTTTGCTACAAATCACTGTTCCGTCTGTCAGGTGACTTTAAATACATATCAATGTTAAGTGATCACCACTTTAACTTTTAGTATTGCTCGAAAAGATATTATCGGATGAATATACAGTGTCGGTATTTGTCTTAGTCCTGGGGTAAGATCAGACGAAGAAAATTCTTTCTTCTAACAATACCAGCTTTTGCTATGTAAGTCTGTTTGTTAAGCTAGTATGGAAGTAGTGAGTGAAGAATAAACTAACGTTTACCTAGGCATGTTTTTCGTCAACGAAACAAAGAAACTGTATGCAAATTTAAAACGAACACATATTCCGTAGAATCGCTGTACTTATGCTTGTCCGCGCCATCAAAGTTTAAATGAGAAGTAATCAAAGCCTTTCACTGACTTTTTATTTTCGCCCTTCGTTTGAAGCAATGATTTGTGGTGAACCACTGAATCAATGGCTTTTATCAACAGATGCTAATTTTAGTATGTGCACAGTGAATCAACAGCGGTTAATTCGCGCACGATGATTGGTTGTTGTGGTGTTTATAAAGAGCCGGTTTAAAATGCGTGCATCCGTGGTCAGTTGAATATGGTTCGGCAAATTATCTTCCTAGCAGTGCTGTACGGTGCTTGTGGAAAAGGTGACATCTTTAAAGTTTGTATTTCTGATTCATAGATATCTACTCTTTTTTCCTTATTTTATTCCAGTTCAAACTTACATCTTTTAAAATGGCCAAAACTCGACGCTAATCACTTGCATTACAGTTGTAGAGTTCAACAGCACGTTGGAATTTAAACAGAACAGTGATTATGTTTTCACGAAGCAAATGCATGGACGTGTGGAGGTGCGTTTTGTCATATAAGAAATACAATGATTTGTTATTGTTCATAAATTACTGCTGGTGTTTGCCTTACAGCACATTATCGTGGACGGTGTGAATATTTCCAAAGCAAAGAACGGATCCCATTGTGTCGCACCAAATGACTGCTGGGAAGTTGTAAAGCGTAAGATATGAGTCTCACTTCTTGATCCTCAACACAATTACCTAAGCTAGGCAATCTTGGAGCACTTAATCATTTGTTTGGCAACTAAGAAAATGGCAAATATACGATCAAACCCCATTTGAAGCAGAATTCTCCATTTTTGCATGAGGCACTAGAGATCTTGACGACTTATTAGTAATTCGCAGCACGGCAGATATAGATCTATATAATAGTAATGTTTGGGAATGAGAGTATAAAACATTCACTTGTTGTTCTGTCGTGAATTTTGTAATTTTCAATCTATATTTTTCTTGTTAGCCGAAAGACTGCTAATCACATACGGCTTCCTGAAAGGACACAACGCATCATTTACTGTGCAGCCTCTGAACACCACTACAAGAAGTCCAGTTGGCGTTCAATACAAAAAAGTTGGCACGCCGAATTGTAAGCAAAAAGGAACCTCGTCTGACTTATTTCATGAATAGTCCATTTGCTACATTACGTTGGTTTTTTAACGGCACGCATGTCTAAAGTGGATGAGGCCGCTCAGCACCCAGACATGTTTCATTAAAAGAAGATTTTCTATTTCTCATTTGTGTGCTTTATTATGATCTTATTTGGAGTCGGTCTACATTTATAATGTTATCATCTACCTGCTCAATCTTACGAGCTGACAAACTGTCATTTTAGATGCGCCGCTGGCCAATGGAACAAGGTCTGTCTTGGCTAAAGAAATTTACGATAACGAAACGCTCATTCATATTCTGCTGTTTAGTTCGAATTTTGGGGTAAGTACTTGCAACTTATGTGCATTGCTTACACTTTGTTAGTCACAATTGCAGTGTAAGGGCTGCAGTTAAGTGCCAAAATTGACCAACATATCATGTAAACGTGACCATGGCTGAGGAACAGAATGCCATAAAGATTATTCGACCCATAAGTTATTAGAATTATTTGTTGCCTACTACGAGCAAGAAACTGTCAGTCGATTTACCTACGTCAATTCTGTCGGTATAAAATCTACAGTGAAAATTTGCCTTTCCAATATTTCAGAATGTTAGCGTCGTTGGAAACATCACAATGACCAGAAGAGATCCTAATATCATCTCTATGTTTGGAAAGACCGGTACGTGGCCATTCTGGAGTTAAAAACTAATCCAAAAAATTATGTTGTTTATTTGATTTTAACAGAATATTTTAGGCAATATATATTCTCATATTGCATGTGTTCTTTTAGGTGTACTGAAGTTCGAAGTTGTACTTTTTACGGGCCATTTGGGAACCGAATCTCGAAAGATGGAATTAAAATACGGGAACGGCAGGATTGATCGCATTACAATAAAACCCTCGAATAAAACCGGGGCATCGGCGCCAATACTGACATTCATCGATTATGAGAACGCTTTCAAGAAGCAGTAGTGAGGCATCGTATGACGGATGTCATGCCACTTATGTCTTAATTTAAAGACAATGTCCAGCTGATTCATTTTTTATATATAACAATAAACATTCCGCCTCATTTGGTTTACCTTCTTTCTAAAATGTCCAACCAGTTTTCATTGAACAATAGAGGAACACACCAAGTCTCGTTAGTGAATGCAAATCTCTGCAGTCTATTTGGTACGGAGAATGTCCTTAACTGCACAGAGATTTTAAAGTTTTAGTTGAGATTAGTGAAGCATCTTAAAAGAAGTCGAAATCACGGATTATTTCGAATCAAGGAGAACCAACGTTTAGCCGTTTAAAGGCTAATGGGCATAAAATATGACTGAGCGCGCCTACAGACTATGGTCAGGCGAAGTTTAAATTGTCACTTTACTGTCAGGAAATGTGGTCCGATTTTTCCATAAGATTGCAAAATTGGAATCTGAAAGCACAAGTGAATTCGTTACCTGACAGTGAATAAATGTCTGCATCCAGTTTGACCAAATTGGCGTCAGCCATGCTGCATGTTGCCCACCTTCCTGTAAATCGTCACAGATTGTCGCTTGAGTGGAGTATCCTTGAAAGTGAAATTACAGTGATAGAAGACTAAGCATGAATGGGCATCTGTGAAGCTATAGAGTACACGAATACGTCGCTTCAGCAAGAATATGGCACGGGAAGCAAGCAGTGTAAATTTTTCACCTTAAAGCTGAGGGATGGCAAACATGACGGCCGAAGTACTGTTACTTTGAGATGCGGTGTTTAAATGCTCGGCTACAGACTAGGCAAAATGCACTTGTGTTATTAAAGTCGTGTTTTCGTATGGCACTGCGTGACGGATCTCATGAAATTCTGAAGTCCATTTGTCGTTTGGAAGGATTACTTAGGCGGTCTTTTAATACTGGTTATCATGCGGCATAATCTTATGGTATTTCGGACTCGCTAGGATGTCAGCTTTTGAATTCACTTTCTTTTGTTATCATGGAAGGGACACATTTAATATGAAGTTGACTGCCTATGTAGCATGTTTTATTCACATTGGTTTTCGATGGTCTTACAAATTCAACTAAAGGGTAGGTGGGCAAACTCATTAAGTATCAACCGGAATTCCGAAATGCGTTCTTGTTTCGAAAAGATTAATCAATTAGGGTTGTAAAACTGGCCAATTGTACCTGCTCCATGATGTCTAAAGAACGTGCATTAAAAAGTTGATATCCTCATGAGTTCGAAATACCATAAGATTATGCCGGCTTGATAACCAGTATAACAACACCACCCAAGTAATCCTTCTGAAAGAAAAACGGACTTCAGAATTTCGGCCAACATTTCATGAGATCGGTCACCCATTGTAGATTACACACAAACTGCCTTCTAAATTTTAGAGATATATCATTGGCTCCCTGATTTGCACCTAATTCTCGAAAAAAATGTGGCACAGAAATACTGAAGCATTAATGTTTATGAGACCTGCAAAATGGGTCCCCAGTTTAACATCCCAGCCATCCAAATATTCGCCAACTCCGGATGCAAAACAGTCCGAGAGTTGATTGAAGCCTGGGCTTCGGATGAGAACTCAGTCAAATGTTTTATCGATCTGGTGCCGACGTACAGCGTCCTGCGCCGTCACCTCCAATCTTGCACCGTCAGTCAATGATTGGCTGAAACGTTGCCCAAATGAAAGCTGAACTAAACACCATAAACTGGGAATCAGCTTTTTCGGTTGATATAATCAAGGATTGGGATTGGTTTAGTGGGTTACTGCACGTTCTTCATAGAGATCACTGTTCTATTTCACGGAAGAAACTGAACAGCAGACCCCTCGTGGCTAATACAAGTTTTCAAAAAAAGAAGTGAATAAAAAGCGTAGGTTATGGAGGAAATTCCTCTCGGATAGGAGCTATGTGTTGATAAATAAAGCACAGAGGAACCTGGTTAGGAGCTTAATCCTCGGGACGCGCCGTACTTTCGAGAGAGACCTGCTGAATTGATACGCAGAAAATCCGAAGTTATTCTACGGTTACATAAGAAGCAGCACACGACGACCTAGAACTCAGTGAAGATGGAGAGAAGACAGAGCACCTTTCACATTTTTTAAGACTATCTTTACGAAGGAAAGCGCATTTCTCCCTCCCGTCCGCGACACAGTGGACGGGCCAACGACTGAGCACGCCTCTTTCGCCGAAGCTATTGTTGGCAAAGAACTGTTGAAGCTGAATGAGTCTAAATCACCTGGGCCGGAAGACATACCGCCGAAAATGTTGAAAGAGCTTGCTAAAGAATTATCTAAATCGCTGTCCATGCTCTTCCAAGATTTGTTCGAAGCAGGCTATTTGTCCGCCGATTGGAAATCCGCGTGGATCACGCCATTTTTTAAAGGCGGCACCAAAGTCTTAGCAAACAACTACAGACCAATCAGCCTTGCTTCAATTTTCTGCAAATTTATGGAAGAAAGAATTAAGCGGGAAATAATGCACTTCCTAGAAGAGCATAATCTGCTATGCGATGGCCAGCACGGATTTCGTAGAGGCAGATCATGCGTGACAAATCTTCTTGATTGTTTAGATCGCTGGACCCGTGCAGTCGATGGCGGCAATGCAGTGCACGCAGTCTGCGTCGACTTTAAGAAAGCATTCGGCAGTGTACCACATCAGCGTCTCCTGTACAAATTAAGCCGGACAGGCGTAAGGGGTAATCTCCTGAGGTGGATACAAAGTTTTTTGATCGGTCGCTCTCAAATCGTCCACCTCGATGACGGGCAGTCGGCAGAGTTAGCGGTTGAAAGCGGTGTTTCACAAGGCTCCGTTCTTGGCCCTACCCTATACATTATATACGTCAACGACTGCGTTAATGAACTGAATTGTGATGTCGCCATGTTCGCTGATGATGTTAAATTTTGGAGCGTCATCCGAACTGAATTTGACGAAGAGCGCTTGCAGGCAGACCTGGCCCGACTGGAGAAGTGGCCACAGGACTGGCTTTTACCGTTTAATGTGACTAAGCGCAATTTTTTGCGAGTCTTCAGGACCCGATATCTAAGCCGGAGGGTTTACCACCTAAATGGCATGCATCTGCAGGGGGTAGACGCCCAGGATGACTTGGGTGTGTGGGTAACGGCTTCTCTAAAACCGTCGCTCCACTGCTCCAAGGTAGCTAAGTCTACGATGTCAGTCCTTTATCTTGTCAAGAGAGCTTTATCTACCTTCGATAAGGCCTGCTTTGTTAAAGTCTTTCGGACTTTCGTACGGCCACAGCTAGAATTCGCTATTCAAGCGTGGAAACCGTGGACCTCCAAAGATCTCAGCATCCTTGAGAAAGTCCAAGGGCGGGTAACCAAACTCCTAAGTGGACAGGGTTCACTACCCTATGAAACACGATTGTCCAATATCGGCCTTTTTCCACTGAGTTACAGACATCTAAGGGGCGATTTTATATAAACATTCCGTATAATGCGCGGCGAGGACTGCTGTCTCTTACCTGCTGATTTCTTTGAGTTAGCGACCACAACGAACCTCCGAGGTCATCCACTTAAACTACGCGTAACTGGCGCCAAGCTGGACATTCAGAAGTTCTTCTTTTCAAACAGAGTGATCGAGGCCTGGAGTGCTTTGCCTACAGATGTCGTGATGTCCACCTCCGTCGAGGCTTTTAAGCACAAGTTGGACCAGTGTATCACCAAACGTCATAATGCCACCTGACCCACGTCTAGCATTTCGTTCGAGCAGTTTATTAATGTTGTTATGTTACTGCCTGTGTTTCAGTAACGTTTTTTATTGTACCATGTCTGTTGAATGTGTGTTGGCATCTAATTCGTCTCTCTCAGAAACTGAGATAGTACCAACTATCCATTGACGGATTACTGTACAGCACACTTAGTAACGTTAATGTTTTTAATTTTTGGATCAATTCGTTTATCTGTCTGGCTTCGAAAACTTTGCCAATCTGAAGAAACTCTGTAGCTGTTTGATGTTTCCATTTCCAAATTTTTGATATAGTTCGCTTCCTTGTAACAAATACGGAGTTCAAAGGTTTAACACCTATATTTTCCTCAAATAAACTGAAATGAGCTGAACTGAAAAAATCAACTGCTAATATGACTATGTCTGTTGCTGACACTAGGTCCGTTATGAATGCATGCTGCGCAGGAAAATATGCAGCGCCTTTTTGAACATTCTTTCTTGTCAATAGAAGCGAAAAGACGAGTCCCAGGAAGCAGTCTTGAAGAAGAAGACACGATCGCCGGGACAAGAGCTTTATTAGCCTGACGTTTCGGATTCCTGCTCGAATCCATCATCAGAGACATAAGCAGATAAGGGTGGTTCATGCACATGTGGCTGCAGTATTTATAGGATGCCGTAGCCATGCCACCGCATACCTATGAATGTTCACGGCTCCCTCCCCTTCATCAGGGATCGTTGCACGTGGCGTGATGGTCGATATTCGCGTCGTTAATTGCTGCAATTTCATCACGTGCGTTGGATGTTGGTGTGATGATTGCTCGACCATCTGACGCGCTGACCCCGGGAGCGCACTGGTGAATACTCTTCCCAACACCCGGGTCAGCGCGTCAGATGGTCGAGCAATCATCATACCAACATCCAACGCACGTGATGAAATTGCAGCAATTAACGACGCGAATATCGACCATCACGCCACGTGTAACGATCCCTGATGAAGGGGAGGGAGCCGTGAACATTCATAGGTATGCGGTGGCATGGCTACGGCATCCTATAAATACTGCAGCCACATGTGCATGAACTACCCTAATCTGCTTATGTCTCTGATGATGGATCCGAGCAGGAATCCGAAACGTCAGGCTAATAAAGCTCTTGTCCCGGCGATCGTGTCTTCTTCTTCAATTCTTTCTTGTATCATTTTGGCATCAACAGTAGATATAAAATCATCCTTGCTTGCAGAGACTTACAAGATCTGACGCTTTGGCTGACGGGAAATGGAGTCGTCAACAAATGTCTGTCAAACACGCAGAACACGAATAT